GGCATCTTGGGCAACCCCCGGAGGCCGCCGGGGGGGCCCCGGGGCGTCGGCGGCCCCCTCCCCCCGCCCCTCCTTCCCAGGTACCGGGCTCGTTTACTCCATTGAACTGCGCGGCCCCGAGCGCCCGAGGCTGAGCACTCGGAGCCGGGTTACCTGTCGGCGGGGCGCGCGCGACCGGGGCCGGGGGCCTGGAGGGGGTTCTAGGGAGAGTCCCCCCGTAAGTCCCGAGCTGCGCGGAGCCGGAGCCGAAGCCGGAGCCGGAGCGGGGCGAGCAGCCGGCATGGGCCAGGGGGTCTCCGTGAGCGACCCGCCCGCCCCATCCCGAGGGCCGCTCGCGGGAGGTCTGGCGAAACCTGGTGGGCGGGAGCCGTCGCCGGTCGCGCCGTAGGAGGCTGCCCGGTGGAGCCTGACTTTTGTTTCGGGAGTTGGGACGCGCTGCACCGACGTAATTGTAATTACACTGCTCTTTCCAGCGATGACCACTCACTCGGCCTCGGGGGGCGGGGGGCGCGGGGGAGCGAGATGAATGGATCCTAGGAGTGATGTTAGGTGGGATCCTGCAGCGCGTGAAGAGTTGCCAGTTGCTATATGGGCTTAAAAAAAAAAATCTGTAATGGCTAAAGGGTAAGGTCTTGTAAGGGAAGACCGCTGGCTTCATACTGATTCCGAAGAGGCAGTGGAGTTTGGAGGAAATGTAGCATATCCCGGCGCTACCCGATTCAGGAAAGAGCCATGTAATCTTCTGCCATAGAATACTTACATAATTGGATAGGCTGGTAAGAGGATTAAAACAGTGCCGCTCTATTGTAAATCTGTGGAAAGACCCAGTTTTTAGTCATTATCCTCATTCTTATTTTGTGGTTCATGCAGTTTTTTTTTTTTAAAAAAGGTGAATGACACATCAAGGAGGAAAGAGACCGAATAGATTTGAAGATCAATCCTAGAGAATGTTTTATGTCGTTAAATAATCCACCAGTTTTATGGGGCCTTGTTCTGCTGACATTTATTGTTTACTAGTACTGTGCATCATGTTTGGACAGACATTGTATCCCAATAGTGGCTTAGTTGATCGAATCCTAAAGCCCTTTGTGGAATTTATAGAAATAAATTGAGCAATTATATACAATGTTACTACAATAGTGTATTTCTTACTGATAGGAGAAAAGCCTTTTATTTTTTTCACGACAGCAAAATTACATATTAGTGCATACTTTTTTGAATCAAAATGGATACATTTACTATAGCTCTTCCTTATGTGTTTGGCAAACAACTCATTTGTGGTATTGAAACTTCTAACCTTTCACCAGGATGGATATTTGATGTTCAGCTGCTTATGGGGTTTGCAGTTAGTGGGGTTTCTAATTAGATCCAGTTGTACTTTTTGAATGAATGTAGCTATGCATACTCTTCTTTCAATATTTTCCCCTCTATCTTTCCCTAAAATTGTCTTCCCCCCAACATAGATACTGCACAAATAATTTTAAAATTAAAGGTTCTTAGAAATCTAGGTCTCCATCATTTTTTAATATGCAGACAAAAACTTGTAGGTTACATGTAGTTTTACATGTAGTATTGTAGTTATTATACCTTCCTTTTTCCCATCCTGAGTAGGACTTGTTGAACCAATTAGTAAGCTGATCAGATGAAAAATTAGTAAATTGTTTTGTTTTTTTTAAGTTTTAGCTCCATTACTGTACATGTGACCTTGAGTAAATCATTTCACCACGCTGAGCTTATTTGCTCTATTTGTGAATGATTCAATATTAGGTTGAACCATATAAATTTGCCGGTAGTCAGTTGTTTTTCATATGCTTCAACCTAATATGAACTTCATGGTAGTGGGATGTGAATTAAATGAGGTACTCTGTATAAGATGTGGGGGTAGGGGAGTGGGGGAAGAACAGAAATATAAGCCTGACAGTGTGCTGGGCCCTGTTCTTGTTGCTTTAGGTGCCTCGACTCCTTATTCTTGGGGCATTCCTGGGATATTGGTGGTGGTACTGAGTTTTACAGATTAGGGAATTGAGGCTCAGAGAGGTGAACCAACTTGACTGTGTTTACTTGTCAAAGGTCATATACTAGTTATAGCTGACTAATGGCAGAGCCAGTATTAAAAACTGAGTGATTGCCCCAAATGGAACTTTTTAAAAAAAATGTTTTATTGTTGGTAGTATTACAGATGTCTCCATTTTCTCTCCCTTACCCCCCATTCTCCCAGACCTTCCTCAACTCCCCCCCCCCCAAGTCTTCACTACCCTATTGCCCGTGTACATGAGTGATGCATATAACTATATAAGTTCTTTAGTTTATCTCTTCTTGTCTCCCATCCCCACATCAATGTATGTCAGTCTGTTCCATGCCTCCATGCTTTGGGTCTTATTTTGTTGGTCAATTCGTTTTGTTCATTAGATTCCACAAATGAGTCAAAATGGAACTCTTAACATGCTTGCTTCTTCAATTCTTGGTCTATACCTTCTGTAAAAGAATTTTGTAACTATAAAAGGTGAAAGGTGTTATCATTTGTATTTCTGGTTGAAAAAATATCCAGGCCCTGGCCATGTAGCTCAGTTGGTTAGAGTGTCCTCCAGGTATGTCAAGGTTTTGGGTTTGATCTCCCTCAGGGCATGTATAAGAAGCATCTCCCTCTCTTTCTCCCCCTCTCTCCCCCTCTCTCCCCCTTTCTCCCCCTCTCTCCCCCTCTCTCCCTCTCCCTGTTCCTCTCCCTCCCACTCACCCCCCTCACAAATCAATAAATAAAGACTATATATCTAGGTTTTCCTACAAGGGTGATACCAGTGCTATTACTACTATTGAGTCTAGGGCTTATCATGTGTCACGTTCTGGTTTAAGCACTATGCCAGTTTATAATCACAGTGACCTAGGAAGTAATCCCTACTTTTATCCCATTTTATAGTTGAGAAGATTGAGGAACTCATACATGAAGCTTGCTCAAGGTCACAATGCTAATTAAGTGACAAGACTAGATTAGAAGTCAGGCACTTTGTCTTTAATGGCCATGCTCTTAACCTCTCTACTCCACTACTTCCTCATGTGCAGGTTGTAATTACTTTTAATTTAGCTTTTATGAGATACTTAGTATTAGTGTATTAAGTAATTCTTCATGTGTCACCAGAGATTTTTAAATCAAACACTCATTGAGCATCTGCTCTGCAAGTCACAGTGGGGGTTAAAGGAAAGTATTCTTAATAAGTCTGGAACATAGGCTACATACCCATTCCCATATCTTTTATAAGTTCCTCAAATTTAGAAGGTGCTCTTCACTGTTGTGATAATTTTAATGAGTGCAAAATAAGACAAAGTGTTGGAATAGTTGGATAATGGGGAGGAAGGAAGGATGAGTAGTACAAAGGGTAGTAAACTGGTTACTAAATTAATTACTTACATGTACTTGATATCCTAAAAACAATGCCTCTATTTTAGTATTTATTAATCTTGATATTTACATTGTATTTATAATGTTAATGACAAGGAGGCCTCTTCCTTTATGGTTCTCAACCTTCCTAATGCCGCGACCCTTTAATATAGTTCCTCATGTTGTGGTGACCCCCAACCATAAAATTATTTTCGTTGCTACTTCATAACTGTAATTTTGCTACTGTTATGGATTGTAATGTAAATATCTGATATGCAGGATGTATTTTCAGGGGTCGAGACTCACAGGTTGAGAACCGCTGTCAGGGTTTAAGTCATCTTACCCCATTTTATAGCTTTAGCATTGGGCCTGGAACCCAAAAGCAGGTACTGTGCTGTGTTTGGTGATGGATGGTCAGTAGGAGACTGTTAGGATGTATTGAAATTGATCTAGAAGTAGAAATGGAAATGAGGGCTCAGAGTGAGCATTGAGGGGACTGAGGAAAGGAAGACAGGGATACTTATAACAGGTAGCATTAGCTTGTCATCTTTA